GCGAGCTGGTTGAAGGAGTGGCCCTGTGGGTTGCTGCAGTTGGCTCTCGTGTCGATGGCACGGACTGCTCACACCGCACGGCGAAGCCCAACAGGCCAGCGCCCAAAGCAGTCGTCAAGCCCTTGGCAACCAAGCTGATGTGCGACCTCATCGGCGAAGAGGGCGCTAAGTGGTGTGCCAGGTGCAGATGGTACGACCGCAAATCTGAGTGCCCAGGGAGCATTGTCCCGGTGGTGCTGGAGATGAACTCCAAATTGGACAAGAAGCACTCGCTGGTGGAGCTGGCGCCCGTGCGGAGCTCCGAGCTTGTCAAGGACATGGCGGTAATTGCGTGCCTGGTGTGTGGCGCCTCAGCTGCAGCCAGGCCCTCCACTCTCAAGAAAGAGTGCGGCCACCCTGGCAGCAAAGGCAAGGCCGTGCTGTCTAGGCTGGAGAAGAAGCTCGCGCCCGCGATCTCCCAGACGGTCGTGGTCTCGCTCAAGTTGCTGGACGGAAGTTTGTCCTCCAGTGGTACTGGCTCGTGTTGATGGTGATGGTCTGCACCCTGAAGCGCGAGTACTTACTTGCATGGTCGGGGGCCTGGCCCAGTTGGGGGCCCCCGTGGTCGGGAGCCCGCCGCCTGCGGGCTCCCGTGGCCAGGGGCCCTGCCAGGCGGCAGGGCCCCTGATTCCTCGTCGGGAGCCTGGCTCCCGTGGCCAGGGGCCTTGCCTGGCGGCAGGGCCACTGTTCTCTTCGTCGGGGGCCTGCCTTGAGCGGCTCCCGTGGCCAGGGGCCCTCGCCTGGCGGCAGTGCCCCTGTCGGCGCGCCCGCGACCGCGGGCGCTGGGGAGGCGGCCGTCAGCCCGCCCCCTTGATGCGCGCGGATCCTCCTCCTCCTCCTCCTCCTCCTCCTCCTCCACCTCCTCCTCCTCCTCCTCCTCATCCTAACCACACTCCTCACACCTCACAGCCTCAGCCCTCACGATCACCTCCTCCTCCCCTCATCCTCTTTTCCTCCTTCTCCTCGCCTCCTCACTCCTCACCTCACTCCTCCTCGCTGCTCCTCACTCCTCACTCCTCCTCACTCCTCCTCACACCTCCTCACGCCTCGTTACGCCTCACGCCCTCCTCACGCCTCCTACACGCCTCCTCACGCCTCCTCCCTCCTCCTCCTCCTCCCGCTCCCTCCTCCATCCTCCTCCTCCCCTCCTCATCCTCCTCCTCTCCTCCTCCTCCTCCTCCTCCTCCTCCTCTCCTCATCCCCTCCTCCGCCTCCTCCGCCTCCACCTCCGCCTCCTCCTCCTCCTCCTCCTCCTTCTCCTCACTCTTCCTCATTCTTCCTCACTCTTCCTCACTCCTCCTCACTCCTCCTCACTCCTCACTCCTCCTCGCTCCTCACGTGCCCAGCGAGGGCCCCCAGAGGCCGAGAGCTGCGAACAAAGCATGCGCTTTGAGCTTCTCGGGACGCTGGAGGTCTGTATCGAGTCGGGGCGGTGTCGGCCAGCTTTCCCCCGGACGGCTCCGCAAAATCGGGGCGTTCCGTGCCGATCGACCACACCACGGACATCCCGGAGGATCGGCGATCCACGTTCGATCCATACCCTTTCGGGGGCGGCCAAGAGGGGGTGATGACTAGGGGGGGTGGATCTCATGGCGTGGGCCATGATATTTCCCCAGCTTTCCATGGCGCCTCTTCTTATTTCGTTACATCCCTGGCCACCCCTTGGGCCGCGCACGTGCCGCGGGCCATGATTTGCACCCCCCCCTTCTTGGACGCCCCCCTCTGGGCCGCCCCCGACCCTTGCTTCAGGGGCTGCGGCCCGACCAACCCCTAGCAGACCATACCCTTCCGTGACGTCCCCCTCGCCTCACCCCAAGACGTATGCATGCGGCTGGAGGGAAGCGTGGGAGGCGAGGATGATGTCACGTAAGGCGCCGGTCACCATAGGGGTCGGTTAGGCCGCGCCCGATTGCGGTTGCCCCCCACTCCAGGCGCCAGGTGCAGCAGAGTATGGATCAAACAACGCACGTGGCCTCGGAGGACAGGATTTTGTCCATACAGTGGAGGCCCATGCCAAGAAGCACCCTGCTTGCCCACAGGGTGCCCTGGGTTCCTTGGGTTTCGATGGTTTTGCCATGGGGAGCCTGACGTTCCCACACCAAAAATCAACAGACGTTCTGGGGTCTCAGGGTCGGCTTTTTCGTGGAAGGTCTCTTGTGGACTGGCCTCCGCTGTACCGTACGTGGCCTCGGAGGCCAGGATGTTGTCCATATCCTGGCCCTGGGCCCTCCCGGGGATACAAAACATGACGAGCGCTCCGAGGAGCTGTTCCGCGACCTCGTGGCGGCGGCCGAGGAGGCGAGGCGCCGGGGCCAGCACGAGGTGATCGAGGAGACGCAGTCGCGGAGGCCCCGCGGAAGGAAGAACGGCACATTGCAAGCCCAGAGGTTGACACCAACACCAGTATCGGCGGTGTGCTTCCACCGAGGAAAGATCGTAATAATTTTCTGGCTTTCGTAGTAGTAATATGGTGGCTTCCATGGTGTTGGCGGTGATATGTTTGTCACCTTGGCAAGGTGGCCGACATCTTACCACCAACACCGAAGTCTAGGAGCGTCTTTCCCCTGTGGAGGTAGCCCCCTGTGGAGGTAACTCCCTGTGTTGGTGTTGATGCCCATTTCCATTCTTCCGAGGCACAGACAGAAACTTTCGGAGCGCCGCGCGGACTTTTGGGGCTCGCCCTGTTAAATTCAGCAAGATTCACACTGTTGCTGTTCGGTAGCAAGTCATGGGAGCATGGTATGCCCTCTGAATTCCGTTTTTAGCGTCGATTAGAACCGAATAGCGGGGGTCGCTGAGATAGCGCCGACTTAGCGTCGGCTAGCGTCGATTAGCGTCGATTTAGCGTCGATTAGCGTCGATGAGCGTCGAATCGGCGTCGATTAGTATCGATTCGCAAGGGCCGACAAGATGGTATGGGAGGCTCCCGTGAGTTGCCACTGAAATTTCTGGTTTCTGGGGTTCGCTCTATCTTTGGGGTTCATGGTATTTCTGCGGATTTCGGGGGCTCACTCCTATTCCTTGGAGCGGAGGCATCGAGGAAGAAAAAGCGGCATTTGGATCCGGCTGGGGGTCTGAGTTGCCCCGGCGCCTAGCATTGATTCTGGCGAGCAGAAGGGGGGGGGGGGGGGGCGAGGTTCAACGTTCTGTTCGAGAAGGTTGCTGTCTTGTCTCCACGGGCCTTTTTCGGGCCCCGGGACCGTCAAAAACGGATCATGGTACCGTCAAAAACGGGGCTGTGGTAAAACGATTGCACCAGATGGTCTCCGGGATGAAACTGGGGATCGATTTTGAACGAATTTGTTTGGTTCCCCTTCTTGACCGATTTTCCCGGTGCCCATCCGCGTCAGTTGTCCTGGCCGCCTCCAACACGGCGCAAACGTGATCTTTCACATTTCCGAGCGGACCCCGCCCCCACAGTACGGCGCTAGCGAAAGCGCGGCCTGCTTTAAGGCCGCGGGACGTGCCAGCCGCGAAGCGGTTGAAGCGGGCCCTCAGGAGAAGATGATGATGATGATGGCGGCAGCGGTGCAGCCCCCCCTGTTTTGCTGCTGCGCTGGCCGCACGCTCCTCCCGCCGGCGTTGACACGCCGGGCGGGTCCCTCCTTCCGCCACGCGAAGCGGGCCTCGCCGCCGGTGCCGTTGGACACCGAGGCAAAGCCCAGGGTGGGTGGGCAAAAGAGGGCCCCTTTGGGCCCTGGGAGGGCTTTGAGCCCCGAAGGCTTGAGCGGGAGAGAGGGAGAGAGAAGGGCAAGCAGAGGCAGGAGCAGGGAGAGGAGAAAACCCAAGCCGACTGGGGGGGGCGGGGTCCAACCGTTTAGGACAAACAACTAGGACCCCGCCCCCACAGTACGGCGCTAGCGAAAGCGCGGCCTGCTTTAAGGCCGCGGGACGTGCCAGCCGCGAAGCGGTTGAAGCGGGCCCTCAGGAGAAGATGATGATGATGGCGGCAGCGGTGCAGCCCCCCCCATTCTGCTGCTGCGCTGGCCGCGCGCTCCTCCCGCCGGCGTTGACACGCCGGGCGGGTCCCTCCTTCCGCCACGCGAAGCGGGCCTCGCCGCCTTTGTTCTAATAATACTGGTGCTGCTGCCAGTGCCCCTGCACACTGGCCGCCTGGCGGATTCTACGCGCCGGCGTGCTGTGTGGGCGCCCTGATGGGCGTCGCCCGAACTGGGTGCCAGGCGCTGTGCTGCCGGCACCGTCTAGGCACTGAGTCACGCATCGCCTGGCGTGTGCGCCGGCGTGCGTGCGGGGCCCCGCTGGCCCTCCTGTCTGCCGACTGCCGCCAGGCAACTGATGCCGGCGTGCGCGGCTATCCTCCGTGAGGCTATGCCTTGGGCTCGCGCCGGTGCCTTGATTGCCGGCGGAGCCCGACCTCGGGCTGAGGCCCGAGGGTGTCGTCGCTGGCGCTCGGCACGGGCCGGTACTTGACACCCCCGTCCGCGCCGCGGCCTCCAGATCTCCCGGCCCCCCGCCTCCACAGGTGCCCGAGGTGCACGGGGCGGGCAGGGTCCGGCCCCTGACAGAGGGGGTTCCCCGGGCCGGCGCTGGGGTGCGGGCCCGTGCCTGCGCATGAATTCAAGCGCTGCGGCCGCACTGGGCCGTCATATTGCCAGCTACTGTATCACAGCTGGCGTCAGTATGCCCGGCACGACCAGGCTTGGTATAGAGAGCCGGCGTGCCAGGCGGGTTCCAGCATGGTCCTCGTCCAGGGCTGCAAGGGGACCCACAGTATCCCAGGCACTAGTGGGGCCCTGACGGACGAGCCTATACGCATGCTTCTGCCGTGAGGTATTAGCCAGTGCTGAAGGCACAGGCGGGTGCACTCTGCGAGCGCGCGGCTACTCGCCGGCGGGGCAGGTGGCTGGTGGCTGCACCCAAGCACGCACGGCGGGAAGGCCGGCGGCTTGGGTTGGGCGCGCGCCAGGTGCGTAAGCACCGGCGGCGCCCGCTGCGGCCCCTCATGGGCTCTCACGCCTGGCGCTCTCGGCGCCGGCGGCAGCTCTGCTGGGGGCGCTGTCCTTCGCCGGGTTGGTCAACGAGGAGGTGCCCCTGGCCATCTTGCCGGAGATGCCCTTCATCGGCTCGTGCGACTCCCACAGGTAGCCGTGGAACGCGTCCGACTGCCAGCGCCCGAATCGGCGCACTCGGGAGAGATCCTCGGTCACGTGGTACATTGCAGTCGCCCCGCCGATCCTCAGGGAATGGCTGCCGATCTCCTCTCTGGAGAGGCCGGCGGCCAGCCCCGCGACCGTCAGGAAGTGCCGCGCTTCTGCCCTGCGGATCGGTGTGCCTGACGCCCAGCGGAAAAGGGGCAGCCGTTCCTCGGTGCCCTTTATCCGCTGAGGATGGTGAGCCTGGGGCCGCCCCATCGCCGCGATCGGGCAGAGCGACGTGCCGGCGCGGTAGTGGTTCCCCACCGTCCCGACGTTGAGCTGGTCCGTCTTGCCGCTCTTGATGTAGATCACCATCTCGTCGGCGTCCTGGAAGCTGGCCACTCGCTTCCCCTCCTTCTTGGGCTCTACGTCCTCCCCGTGCAGCACGCGCTCGAAGGACCGCGAGCGCCCGTCCTGGAGGAGGTACTACGCCGTCACAATAGCCGCCCAGATGGCCACTGCATCCTCCTCGGGGAGCCTGGCCTCCTGCTGGAGAAAGCCGCGGAGCCATTCGAGCATGGCTGGCGTGACGGGCTTCTTCCGCTTGGTCTCGGGCCCCTGCCAGCGTTTCAGCCCTGCCAGCGTGCTCCAGAGGCGACCTCTGTGGAGCAAGGGGTCCGAGTAGCCGGCCACCAGGTGGGCGTAGCGCACCGCGAAGAGCTTCTGCTTGATGGCCCCCTCGGTCCTCCCGACGACCCGCGCTAGGAGGGCGGCGAAGTTGATGAGCGCTTCCTCGTCGGCCAGGCGTTCCTCGCGATCACGTCCTGGGAGCCAAGGGCTAAGCCCTTGCGCCTGGCGCACGGCTTCCCAGAGCCGCCATCCTCCCTCGTAACCTGCCCTTGTGCCTTCGCTGAGTTTCTGCAGCATGGCCTCCATCTTCTGCTGCGCGAACCAGCCGGCGCAGTTGGCCCCGCCAGGCTCAGCGCGGCCGGCGGGGGCGAGCTCCTTCCCAGGGTAGTTGTTCTTCCGAGCTACGCCCAGCGCTTGTGGCCTCACCAAGTTGGTTGCTGGCATCTCTTTGGCACGCCGAGGGCTCTTTTTGCGAGGGCTCTTCGAGCGAGTTACACCTTTGTCTAGCTTGACCTTCTCGGCGGCTGGGGCCTCGCGGGGTCCGATGAGCGTGTCCTCGTCGATCATCTTGAAGCGGACTGCCTGGGCACGCCGGCGATTCTTGTGCATCTCGTCGGTGAGCGTTCCTCCGGCCCTCGCCTCGTCCTCTGCTGCCAGCGCCAGGGCGGGCCGATCTGGTGCCTGTGCCCAGGCGCGGAACCAGCGCTTGGTGGCCTCCCACGCAGCCTGCTCCTCTGGATCATGGCATACCCCGGCACGCTGCGTGCTGGTGTTGTCGAGCGCCTCTGTCACTGCGGTCAGCACTGCCTCCGCGGTCCTCGGCGGGAGCGCCCTGGCTGCGCCTTTCAGGTGTTCGTCCTCGGTGGAGCCCTGGGTTCGCAGGTGGGTCCACTCGTCGTTGGTCCCTCCCTGCACTCGCCAAACCTCTCGGGGTGTCAGGGCGCGGACCGTGCCCCCGCCCCCTCCGGTGACACGGAGGAGCGTCGCCCCGGGTCCTTGGAGTTCCGCCCCTGGCCAGCGGATGGTGCCCACCGGCCCTTCCTCACTGTAGATCAGGTGCTTCACTCCATCCTTCTTGAGGTGCCCGACCGGCTTGAGGAGGAGGGGGTCGCTGGTGGATTGGACGCGGGGGTCCCATGACACTTCGCCCTGTTGGTCGAGCCACAGGTGGTCTTTTCCCTTGTCCAGGAGAGGCTTGACGCTGGCAGCTCGGGAGCAGGCCGGCGGCATGTTAATGCACGCCAGGCCCACTCCCGCTTTCCGACGCCCGCCCACGAGCACCCGCCTGGTCCGCGTCGCGGCGTCCCCGTGGCGCGTGCAGACCACCTCGAATTTCGAGACCATATAGCCCAGCTGCTTGAGTGCCTTCTCGAACCTGGCTGTGTCTACCCCGGTCGGGACGTCCACGACCACCACTTCAGGGCTCTCCTGAGTTGCTGCAACGAGGAAGGCCTCCATCTCTCGGCCCTTGGGGTCCAGGGACAGCGACGCCATGAGCCATCCCGCCTTCTGGTTCTCCTCGGGCTCCGATCCCCCGAGGCGCTTGAAGGCCTTCGTGCACGGGTTGATGAGACCCCCCACTTCTCGGCCCAGCTTCCCGCGGAGCGGGAGAGCCCTCGGCAGCCCATGTCCTCGCTGAAGTGCTCGGCGTCGAAGGGCAGCCTCGGCGACGGGGCCCGTCTCCCCAGGGAGTCTGAGAAGGCGCTTCTTGGCGTCCTCCAGTATCTGGCCCCAGGCTGCGGGAGGCTCTAGGCGCTTCCATCCTGAAGTGGCCAGCGTGTCGTGAACCTTCTTGACCTCTTCGCGAGTAAGCCAGTCGGCCACCTCGTTGTGGTAGGTCCTCACAAAGAACGAGACGATGCGGCACCCGTGCATGGCTTCGATCCTTTCCACCAGACGGATCAGGTGGCGGGCAAGGGCGTTATTGGGGCTTCTCTTGGTGAGCCAGGCCTTCACATTCTGATTGTCCGTGACGTAAAACACCAACTCGCCTTCCCACTTCGAGCCCTGCTTCGTGGCCAACGCGACCACTGCCAACAGCTCAACCACCGCTATGATCCAGTCCTCCTCGCTGCTTTCGCCTCCGACCGCGTGACTCAGGGCCTCGAGCAGTGGTCAGGCGTCCGCGGCCATGTACTCCGGCGTCGGCGCGGCATCCCCTGCAGTTGCGCTTCCCCAGTCGATGGCACCGATCGAGGAAGTGGTAGCATCTGCGCCTGTCCACCGCGTGGTACGTGCTGTTCCCGGCAATGCGAGGCGTTCGCGCACCGACAGAGCCTGCGTGAAGCTGGCCTGGAAGGTCGTGCTCCAAGCCTCAGGGACGTCGAAGAGCATCCTCAGAAACCCCACCGACGCGCCCCACTCCTCCCAGGCGAGCTCGACTTCCTCAGGCGTACCTTTCGGCTCTGCCCAGCTCGTCCCGCTGCTCAGGAGCCGGTCCAGGGCGGGGAGCTCGGGGCGGAGGGCCGGCTGTGCTGACGCCCAGAACTGGGCACAGCCTCGCAGCTCTTGGGCGACCTTCAGCGGGGCCCGCCTTGATCCTCTGAGCTCCGGGAGGGCGAGCAGGTACTGGGCCTTGATGCATTTGGGTTCTGGGAGCCTAACCACCTTCGTGTCGAAGTTCATGTGGAGGCCCCAGATCAGCTGCTCTGCCGCGAACTCCCCCTCGACGTCCAGTTTCTCCTCGTTAACTGCGTCCGGGCCCCAGACTCGCTCCATGGCCCCGTCGAGCTCCGCGGCCGAGAGCCAGGGTCGGAGGCCCACCAGCGGCTCGAGGACAACCCCGTCGTCCATGAGCCACTTGGAGGCGTACCTGACGGCATCGTTGATCCTGGGCGCCGGCGGCTTCTTCCTCTCGTGCTCGCTCTTGGCCGCCCAGGCGAACGCCATGTACTCGCCCGGGCTGCCGGCCCAGCCGAAGACCAGCACGCCGTGGATCAGGATAACTCGCCCTGGCACTCCGACCTCCTTGCCCGGGAGCGTCGTCCCGAACTCTGGCACGGCCGCTGGCTCCAGGTGGTGCCACTTGAAGGCCCTGGCCACGTCGCGCTTCGCCGCCACCTGCTGGACGCCCGGGTGCCTCGCCTCCCACCAGAGGCTGAGCCTCGCAAGCCCCCTGTGGAGGGGCTGCTTCGCTGGCGGGTGCTGCTCCTTCGGGGAGAAGGCGCTGGCCGCCCGCATGTCGTGGATCGGCCGGCCCTCTTCCGAGATGGTCCGATCCGGCAACATCTTGGGGGCCCTCCCGCTGGGCGACTCGACCAGCGCCGAGGCGGCAAGCACATCCTCGACCTCGTCCGAGGCCCAGAGGACAACGCCATAGCGGCTGTCCTTCCAGGCCTTCTCGAACATCTCCAGCGCGTGGTCCACCGCCGAGGAGTGCGACTTGGCCTGCGTGCGCGTCCGCTCCTCCGTGCGCCGCACGGGTACCCCCCCGGTGGCCATTGCCCGGAGGTGGGCGGCGTGGTGCGGGTCTAAGGACTTCTGCACGTCTTCCTGGAGTACGCCGCCCAGCGGGTTCCCATGGACCTCCTCCCGCGCGTGCTTCAGCAACTCGGCAGCCCTCTCGATGCTGCCGGCGAGACGGAGGAGTGAGTTGCCCCGCTTCACGACCTCTGGCACTTTCTCGGGCTGGAAGGTGGGGTGGTCCGCGCACCACTTGACGTAGGCGCGCGCCTCCTCCTGCGCCCTCCCACCGCTGGGCGCCGCCGGCGCCTCCCCCAAAGGGGGCCCCCCACAGCGGCCTCCCCGCGGAGGGGGCGGCCAAGGGGGCGGCATCATCGGCGGCATGCCCAGCGGTCTGCAGATCTGCCCTGGGAGGAGCGGGCGCCACCCCGGAGGCCTCACCAGGGGCCGGACTGCGTGATCCGAGGGCACGAGCGGCCTTGCTGGATCATCCTGGCGGGGTCTGGGCTGCGATGGCTCTCCCTTGGAGGTGGCGCGCAGCTGGGCACCCAGCGATCTCGGCTTGGGCCTGAGTGTGAGCTTCTCTCCGGACGTCCCTGCGCTGCCGGCGTCTGCCCTCCCGGTAGGGGGGTCTCCGCTGGAGGTTGTCGACCTGCCTGCGGCCCGCCTGGCTGCTTCCACGACTGTCATTGCCGAGCGGCTTCGCCTAGTTGGCGCGGCCTTCTGGGGGATCGTGGCGGGGAGTCTGCTCCTCTGATGCTGGGCTGGGTCTGAGGGGGTCTCCAGTACCTCGGGCGGCGGAGGTGCGCTCGGCGGTGGCCTTCCGCCTGCAGCGGGGGCGGGGCCTCCGCTGCCGCTGGCCCCAGGAGAGCTCTGGAAAGGTTCCTCCCTGCTCCGCCTGGCCGCCTCTGCTTGCCCGGGCCAGAGGCTCAGAGGATCTGGGTCCTCTGGGAGGGGGGGGTCTGGTCCCTCCTCGGTCCTCGCGTACGGCTTCTCCACCACCTCGTCTTCCGAGCTCTCGGCGGAGTCCGCGTCGTCGCTCGGGGGTTCCTCCTCCGCCTTCTCATACACGATTATCTAGCGCTTCTTCGCGGGGGTGTCGTCCAGCTCCCCTGCCTTCACCATCTTGCGGGTCAGCCTCTCGAGGATGTCAACGTACTCGCTCGCGATCTCGCCCTGCTCTTCGTAGGGGGTGCCGGTCCAGCTCCGCGGTAGATCCTCGAACATGGAGCTGATGCCCTCGATCAGGAGCTCACGTGCTTTCCTCTTCCTATCAGGTCCCGTGGGATCGTCAGCTGGAACCCCGAGCAGGTTATTCAGGATGCACTCCGCTTCGTGGCACTTGTTCTCCCCATCCAGGATGGCCGAGGGCAGCGGGGTCTCGTCCTCCCAGGCTGGATCGAGAGGGGTGGCCACGCTCTGCCCGCTGGGGGGTTCCGAGCTGGCCCGGCGGGGATGCCCGGCTTGCGCCTGCTCTGCCTCGCGCTTGCTGGCATCCCTCGCACGACGGGCCCGGCGGCGCTCCTTAGCCTCTGCCAGCTGCATCTGCAGCTCCTTGATGCGCTTCTCCTCCTCCTCCAGGACACCTACCTCGGCGGCTCTGGCAGCTTCGAGCTTCCTCCTTATGCTCTCCAGCTTGATGCTGTCGGCTGAGCTGCCGCCGCCGCTGGACCCTCCAGCGGGCGCCTCGCGGCTTTGTCTCTGGAGGGCCTGGGCGGCAGCCTGCTGGAAGCGCTTCCCTCCTGAGCGCGGTGGGGGGGTCCGCCTGTTCCAGACAA